ATTTGACGTACATGAGAGCACATTTCGAGAGAGTGATTGGTTCAAGAGACTCGGAGACTTATTACATGATGAATCCAGATGGTAACAGTGGACCTGAGCTCAGTATATTTTTCGTTCGGGTTTAAATGAAGAAACGACGTCGTTTTAGGGGAAACAATACACGTGCATACAACATACGTACGTCTCGTTAATCAATTTTTTTTTATATGTTTTTTCTTGGATTTTTTTTTTGGTTATTTATTTATATAATTTGGTTGGTAATTAATCGAAATGATTAATCGGTGATGTAAAACATGAATATATAATACATCATTTTCTGTGGCTGTGTGGGGGTAAAGGTTGGAGAAAAGAAATTCGAGTAGATGATTATGTAATTTTGGGTACCACCAAGTGTGTCCAATCTTTAGCACAAGAAAAATGTGTCAAATCTTAGCTAATTCAAGTTGGTTTTTGTTTAGAAATTCTACTTTTGCTTTTGTTTTCTTTTCTTGATTTATGAAATATAGAAATTGATGAAAGTCGAATAGCATTCAACTCGGTTATATATATATTTTTTGTGATTAATTTGTCAGTTATGAAATATAAAGATATAAAAACTATATCCAAAAAATAATATAAAGATACAAAAACTTTTAACTGTAATCTTTTATTTTAATAAAATAATTAACTATGACGTAAAAATTGCGTTTGGAAAAAAACAGACATGACAAGAGTAAAAATAGTTATTTATACCGTTATAAAATCAAAGGTTGCATTTAGAATTGTTAGAAAATTTGTTTGTCACTAGCTCAATAACATTACAATTTTACATAATTTAATTTGCAATTTAAAAGTAAAATATTTTTAGATGCTAATGCGTAAGTGAATCCATATTGTCGATAGTATGAAATTATTGACTTATATAACAACATGTAAACTGAACTTTTCTGATTTTTGTTTTGCAGAATAGTATATAGTTTATAACTAATCTATAGAATAAATACACATATGAGATATTTTTTATCAAAAAATTCAGTTACAGTACCCCTAAGTTGCACTAAGACCGGTACGGGAACGGAGACCGGGACGGAAAACGGTAATACTAAAAATTTATGGATATGGATACGGTAAAGATAAGTCA